CAAATATTTTACATGCTTGCAGCATGAATGAGAACTACTACAGTCAATTTATAGGTAATATTTTTCTAATTTTAGTTTGCAACTTTAAATACCAAAAGGTCATGATAAATGTAGGATTATTTAATAAAAAAAGCGATGTATCAAAAGTAGTGGTGCACCAAAATGAAAATACTGGACTGAAATCAAAAATTTAGGATGCACTTGGCCGAAAACCGAAACCGAAATGGACAATTTAAAAAAAAAATATATTCATTATATATATTTGTATTATATTTGACTTTTTAATTAATATCATGAATAACATTTATTGAAAGTAACACGTAAACATTGGACAGAAAATAAAATGAAATATATATAAAATTAAAAAACTTAAATAGAGGCGTTTTTGCATTGAAGTCAATAGGGGGAGTTTTTGCATTGAAGCCAATGGGATGTGATTTTGCATTCAAGTCAATGGGACACGATTTTGCATTCAAGTCAGTAGGAGGCGTTTTTGCGTTGAAGCTATTGTAAAACCTATTTATTTCCTGTTCAAACATGCCAAAATAAAACAATACAGCAGCTGAACAGCATTACAATAAGTCTTCACTGACTTCTGTAGTTGCAGGCACTGTGAGGAAATTAGTCTCAAAAGTTTAGAACAGAGACATTTGGCAGCCAGTCAGCTTCAGTGCAATAACCCCTTCATGAACACAATTTTGCAACTTTGACATTTGATGGTAAATTTGTACATATGATGAAAACTACAAAGTGTATCCAGAATGATTATACTGCATTTTTTAAGGCCAAACTGGGCTTTCATCTGGGGGTAAATGGTAATGGATATCTCCTGATTTTATTAGCAAAGGAAAACTAGCCCAAATTAGCAAAAAAAATGTAATTTAAAATGTTGTCTGTACTTTTCTTGCAACTACCATAACCTTCCACCAAACAACATCCCAAAATAAATTCTCCTGCTCCTGACGATCATAGTGATATTGCCGACGTGTAAAATGCTTTTTTTAAAATTCCTACCTAAAATATACTGACGTTGAACTTTGACCCCAACCTTTGACTCAAACCCTAATCTTAACCTAGATAAAACCTTGATCTAGCTATTTTTTTTCTTTTTATTAGTTTTTTTTATACACACATTTGTTTGTTCAAATTTTCTGCACTAGCAAGGAGAGAAAGATACAATGTCTCTTTCTGTCCATTCAGATGAGAGCAGAGCATACAGGGGAGTGAGCTCTATAGTGATTGATCACTGTGATAGCCAATTAGAGACTATCACACTGATCAGGTGATTGAGAATTGGGCTTTCCGGTTCCCGATAATTAGTACGGGACCGGGATTAAACGCAGTGACTAGCCCTGGTGTGACAGACAGCAGCAGGAACCTGCAGCTATCTTTCTCACCTGTGAGCCGCTAACTGTGGCCACTAAGCCCATCTATCCATGGTTGTCCACACAGCCAGCAATTCTATGCCTTAGCTACTGAATAAAACCCAACTGCAAAGTCTCTGTTGTGATCTTTAGATTTAGATTAAGGGTTACAACCCTAGTCATTTTTTTTATTGCTGTCAATGTCCTGATTAGGGAAATTCACTCTCTCTGATTGGCCCAACCACTAGCTCCACCAGGAATGAAAGTGAAGCTAAGTTCAAAATGTTCATTTCCCAACTTTGTGCTTTGTGAATGGTCCCATAGACTTCTACAACCTGTGTTGTGCCCCAGAAGACTGTGGTGGAAGGAGGGGGGCCGAGCCTCGGCTCGGATTACCAAGGCCATCTGACTCAAAGTGGGAGCAGGTACTTGTCAAAACCAGGTACCCACTCCCACCCCCCAAAAAAGTGCCAATTGTTAAAGAGGAGGAGGGGAGGATGCAAGCCAGTGGAACTTTCCCTTTTGTGTGAAGTTCTGCTTTAAGATGCACTTACCTTGTAAGACAGTCTAATCTAATAATGTAATCACATCATTATTATTCATCACGATGAGATAGTGGATAGTGGTCAGACCTGCATGAACAATCCAGCCACTGAATGAATGATCAGCATATGTGTATGTTTGTACCTATGAAGTGAGGGACCGGGGGAGACCCCAGCTTGTCTCAGGGAAAAACAGTCCATCCCAGCCAATTGATTCTTCCCCTGAGTAGGCCTGGTCAGGGGACAGTAATGGCTTCCAGACATGCAGTTGTTCTCAAGTCCAACTGTAAGCAGCTGGATTGGGTGAAGGTCCTTTTTGTCTGTAGGCACCTTTAGCCAGGGTAATTTGAAGGTTTATTAAGGTACTCATAGACCAAATATTATTGTTGTCCAGTCTAGCTAATAATGGGCAGATCAGGGCACAATCGTAACTCTTTAGGCAGAGAGGTTGTTGTCTGCAGGGGCGGACTGACCATTTGGAAACTCGGGCACTGCCCGAGGGCCCAGAGTCAGTAGGGGGCCCTATGAGATGCCCCTGGTACCTTTTTAATAGGCTTTTTTGAGTTTGGGCAAGGACACAGGGGCCCCATGATCCCCTATTGCCCGGGGGCCCCATGAGTTGTCAGTCCACCCATGGTTGTCTGTGAGGTTTTTCCATGCCAATCTATGTTATTTGTTTCAGATATAACTACTACTGGAGGTGCCTTCTTGTGGCATGAACATGCAGACTCAGCTGGTGCAGTTATGGAGATTTTTACTATATTAGTTAAACCCAATCTTTTTGTACTTGTGTATTTTTAGTGACTGAAAGAGAGTGAAACTGTATGTTATAAGGAAGAGGGGCCTCAGGGCTAGTTTGCTGCTTGTTATCTGTGTGCTACAAAAACTGTTTGCACCAAAACAATCCACCATCTAAAATAATGAATTTTTTTTCTTTTTTACTGCTGTAGGTAAGAGACAACTGAGTTGTGTGTTTTTCTTCCAAAGTATGTTCATAAATGATATTCTAATTCATAAACCAATTTATTTCATCCACAAGTGCTGCAAATTACATAAAATCCTGTAAAATAACAATTGATATTTTATATCAATTCAAAGTATTAGCATATCAATTCATCTTGACCGAATGCTTGACATTGTTGATGGAAACACTTGTTCCTCTGCTCACCTGGAGAAGGATGATGGCTCTGACACTTTTCCTAGTTCCCGAAATTCCTTTCCCGCAATCCCTAGTAAAGGTGCATCTGATATTATCAAAAGGACCACTGGTGATGTTATCTCAAGACAGTCTTTTGCATTTAAGCAAAATATATGTAGAAAATTAGAGCTTCATGAAAACTCCAAATGTTTGGAAATTAGGAAATGAGTTATACTGTATTACAAGATTGACACAAGGAGGTGGACATTAACATGGTTGTCCTTTACGCCAATATGGAGTATTTATGACACCCATGACAAGCCCAGGGGTGGGAAATGAAAGAAAACACTTGAAGTACAAGTAGCCAAAGCTTATGATTTTTTTTCTTTAGCAATATTGTTTATAAAATGTCAGATTCTAGAATATGTAATGATAAAATAGTAATAGAGAGGTTGTAGAGATGCGTTCAGGGTGATGAGTTACTGGCATATATCTCCAAAAGCCAAAATTATTCAGTTGTTTATAAAAAGAGCATATTTGGCACTGATGATCCTACTTTTTCCTAAAAGTTGCCCTGTACCTAAAATCCTTTGTAATGTTTAATTCATTGTAAAAATATCAGTAAAATTAACTAGGGTATTTCCAGGCTGTGTGTACTTGGAATTTTTATTTTTAACTTTGAACAGCAGAAATGGTTGTAATAATGATAGATGGAAAGCACCCTGAAGATTAGTCCCAAATTTTCAATTGTTCAAAGACTTTAAATTGCTTGGTTATTGTACAAGCACAGCCAACACATTTCATAATTCTTCCCCTTCTTCGGGACTAAAACATAAGACCAATATCCACTGTGAAAAGCTGAATGAGATTGTGATGGGATGTTTTCAGTGATGTGGATCTATTATTGTGTTCCAACTACCCCTTCTTAGCCTTAAAGAGGAGGGCAGAAAACCCTGCAAAACGTTGGTTATGTTTGTACACCAGATAACAAATAAATTATTTTTGTAAGCAATTGAAATGTCTAAATAAGGCATCATTTCATGTTATCATCTTAAACCAGTGATATGATCTTCCTGCCATAATTCCTGGCTCTATTCCTCTCAACCTTATAAAGTAAAAATGCAAGAGAAAAAGTGGGACTGTCAAGTAATGGCTTTTGAAGGCATGCAGACCTTAACACTCATGTGTCGAAATTTTGTAAGCCATGTTCCAGAGAAATCTTCAGAGAATTGCTTTTTGATTTTTGCTTTCCAGCATCAACCAAAAATGTAAATATGGCCTTTGGTTGGACTAACCATTTCATTTGCGAAATATGACCACTGGTATGTGATGATCTTCCCAGTAGCTCTTTGACATGGACCAATTTGTATTTTTGGTTTAGAGGAACTTTAAATACTAATATTGAATTTTTTTTTAATCATCTTGAAAGTTTCCATGTTAAGATGATACCGGTGGTTAGGAACCACACAAAACTTCATTGCTCTGCATGTTTGGGAAGCTTGTTACATAAACACCACAGTCTGATTTCAAGTGGACCTTTCATGTGGTCATCCACAAGTAAATATACTTAACCAAAGTGCGTCGAGACAGAGAAGAGGCTATAAGACAAGTCTGGGACATGGAGTTGAGTCTGGAATTGTACGTATACCATAGAGATGTAGTAATTAAGATCTGTGTCAACACGCTTTGTAAGTATGGACTTCTGTAAATAAGAACTTTGTTGGTGGAACAAATGACGTCTAAATCCTCCTTCAAAGCTCTTTAAATCTCATATTATTTTTATCACAGATTGCTTACTTTGAGAATAATGGGGTCAGCCAAGGATATGACTTTGCACTAGCATAGAAGTCATAGTCTAAAGCTTGAAGACTGTAATTAACTAAATCCTGACTGTGTTTAGGAGGTTTCATCTTGGAATGTTCCTACTAACATACCCAATTTTTTCTGCCAGTATAGGTCACCAACATCCCAACAGTCCGAGGTACAAATTTAACTTCATTGCTGATGTGGTAGAGAAGATTGCCCCAGCTGTTGTTCACATTGAACTCTTCTTGAGGTAACATCAAGTGTTCATTTTTCAGACGTATTGTGAAAAAAAGTAGAATTTCTCTATGTGCAGGGTGAGGACCTCATATTGCCACATCTTCACTGTGTGCTCTAGTGATGTTTACAGGTTCTTGAGTTAACTTTGGGGAAGCTTGTGCCTCAGTGAGATTCAGTGTCTTTTGCAGCACAGGGAGGATGTCAAATCCACCAATTGTGCTTTTAGACTGCTTAGGGAAACGTTCACAACTACAAAGTGGACATAAATGACCACGACTAAGGACATCAGCCAGCAGACATATTGTGAAAGGTTCCATCTTAATGAAATTATCTGCTTGCCTCAGAAGAGAGCATAGGTATGATTTATAAAACAAAACATAGCCAATTCATAAACAATTATTAGCCTAAGAAGAAAGAAAATAGTGTTTGTGAGAGAGGAGAGGGTATATAAAAAATTTAATTTGAAGGTGTGTTATTCGCAAAACAAGAAAAAATGGTGGATAAAAAAGGTGGTTATTGGTAACTGCAGATAATCTGGTTCATGTGCCATTGGTCTTGTACATGTTTTTACCCAAGGCATGGCGTGTGCCTAAGGGGAAATGGAATCCAACGTCATCCATACTTAGGTGAGGAATATGAAAGTGGAAGTGGTTATTACCAAGAGAGGTACTTTCTGTCCTCCAAAAGAAAAATTAGATTTCATAGTATGCTAGGGGTAGGAAGATTATAGGGGACATTACATGTTCAGGTGAAGGTAGGCAACTTAATTGCAACTTAATTAAAACACCTTAATCCAATCTCCATCAACATTTACACATTCCATGGTGATTGGATTAAGGTGTCTTAAGGTGTGGATATAAATGCTGGGGTATCTTCTGGACAGTCATTGGAACTGAACAAGTGGCTTGGCTATGCTACTAAACACTACATAACACATCCAGTTGACTGTGACTAACTACTACTAACTAATATTATGTCAACCGAAAGACAATTTTAAGCATTCATAACCCCCATACCAAAAAGTCAGAACTGGAACCAAAAAGTTCCACCTCAAAAAAGTATCAATACCAGCAGAGTATTTAACAATGAGCACTGGCTTCCATACTCTGTCCCTGCATGTACTGTACTCCTCACATACCTCTGCAATGTGTAGCTTCCTTGCCAAGTTGGGTGCAGGCTATTATTCTCTTGCTCACCATTTGCTTGACACTGAATTCTGGAACTTTACATATTTGTTTGTAGAAAGTACTTTCAGTCTCTGAGAGCCTAGGAGCCAAATTGCACAGGGCCATCTACTGCTGTTGAAAGACTGATTTCTGTCTCTTCACATTTTTCTGGTTACTATTTCAACTCATAGGGGTTTATTTACTAAAGCTGGAGAGTGCAAAATCAGACTCCCTTCTGCATAGAAACCAATCAGATTCCAGGTTTCATTGCTAAAGCTTCATAGAACAAGCTGAGGTTAGAAGCTGATTGGTTTCTATGCAGAAGGGAGTCTGATTTTGGACTCTCCAGCTTTAGTAAATAAACCCCATGATGTCTAAATAAGACTAAGCCCCTGTTTATATAAATGTGCTTTTAAAGTTCCGCAACTCTGACAGCCGACTATCCTGTGCAACTTCATTGCAGCTTGCTGCCACTGAGTGCTATTTCATTAACAGATGTCAATGCAAGTTGCAATTAAGTTGCACAAAAATAGGAACATTTTTTAAAGTCCATTCCATTTCTCCTAATAAGTATGAACTCTGAATTGATCAATCTGAGCATTTTCAGACTCAGAGCTGTATTTTCTCCATAAAGAGTAACTGTCTCCCTAAAAGTGCTATCACATTGGGGGCTTATCTGATCTATTGTGATAGCAATAATGTTAAGTACAAAATGTAAAAACCTAAAAAGAAAAAGAAGTAAATTCATTCGTGTTCACATACCCTTTCATTTTATTTATTTAAGAGTTGTTACATTTGCCTATATGTGATCAGCTGATTTAGGTTTATTAGGATGGTGATGCAAATGCCCTTTGTCTTTGATACAGTGCAATTATATCAAAATCTGAGTAGTATACTTTGTTGTAACTTTTCAGCTACATTTTAGATTGTTTGTAATATCTCCAACATGGCTCACTCTGGAACGGGCACAATTTTGCTAGTTTGCTATTTTCATTTCCTTAATTATGTAGGGCTTATATGTTGACACGCATTGTTTGAATGCATTTGAATGCATTAATATGGGGAGCCAGATATGAGATTGGTTTCACTCATTAAAAATTTTAGGCCACAGAATAACTGCATTGAATCTGTTTAAGAGAAAACACAGCAAGTCATTTATATTCTGCAGAAAGTGGCTGTGCCAAGACAAATTATGGCCTCCCGCAGCTGTAAAAATTCTTCAGTTCTTGCCATTTAGTTATAAAACAGCTGGAGGGCCACATTTGCCCACCCCTGGTCTGACCTGTAGAGGTCTGTGCATCCCTCCATGGATATGCCTCCCCAGATCATCACTGACCCACCACCAAAACGGTTGTTCTGAATGATGTTGCAGGTGGCATAACATTTTCCACAGCTTCTCCAGACCCTTTCATGTCTGTCACATGTGCTCAGGGTAAACATGCTTTCATCTGTGAAAAGCATAGGGTGCCAGTGGTGGACCTGCCAATTCTGGCGTTCAATGGGAAATGCCAGTCAAGCTCTATGGTGCTGGGCAGTAAGCACAGGGCTCACTAGAGGACATCGGACCCTCAGGACACCCTCATGAAGTCTGTTCCTGGTTGTTTGGTCAGAGATGTTCACACCAGTGGCCTGCTGGAGGTAATTTTTTAGAGCTCTGTCAGTTATCATCCTGTTCCTCCTTCCACAAAGGAGCAGATACTGGTCCTGCTGGTGGGTTAAGGACCTTCCACGTCCCTGTCCAGCTCTCCTAGAGTAACTGCCTGGCTCCTGGAATCTCCTCCATGCTCTTGAGACCTTCTGGCAATGGCAAGTATTGATGTGCCATCATGGAGGAGTTGGACTGCCTGTGCAACCTCTGTAAGGTACAGGTATCACCTCATGCTACTAGTAGTGACACTGACCCTAACCAAATGCAAGACTAGTGAAAAACAGTCAGAAAAGATGAGTGGGGAAAAAATGTCAGTGGCCTCCACCTGTAAGCCTCCACCTGTAAAGCCATTGATGTTTTGGGGGTTGTCTCATTGTTGCCCTTCTAGTGCACCTGTTGTTAATTTCATTAACATCAAAGCAGCTAAAACTGATTAACAACCCCCTCTGCTACTTAACTGACTAGATCAATATCCCAGGAGTTTGACTTGATGCTATACTCTGTTTAAAAAGTGTTCCTCTAATTTTTTTGAGCAGTGTATTTTAATGACACTTGACACACACATTAAATCATGCTTCTTTCAAATGTAAAAATGCAGAGAGCTTGAGATTTCACAGCCCTGGAAACTTCCAGGGAAAAAAAAAATCTGAGAATGTTTATATCATATGAATTTGTCCCTAGAGATGGGGTACAATTGACAACTCGGTAATCTAGTGAATTTACAAACTTCTGTTTTGATGAATTAACTCATTATGCACAATTGTACATCTTTTTTAGACATTTCTTGCAAAGCATGAACAGAGATAAATTATATTTAAGCCTGGCAGCAGAGGATGCAGTCTACACCACGTTGGTCGAATAAAATGATTATCTGGCATTAATATAGGGAGCCAGATATGAGATTGGTTTCACTCATTAAAAATTTTAGGCCACAGAATAACTGCATTGAATCTGTTTAAGAGAAAACGCAGCAAGTCATTTATATTCTGCAGAAAGTGGCTGTGCCAAGATAAATTATGGCCTCCCGCAGCTATAAAAATTCTTCAGTTCTTGCCATTTAGTAGAACCTGCTCAATCATTTATAAATCATAGTCCAGGAATGCTGTGACCTGAAATGACTCCACACTAGATCAAAGAGAAGGGAGACTGAGGTCACAATAGGCTTCCTTCATAGCTTGCATTAAAACACCGACTATGTTTACTAAAGTGGGATTACTAGGCTGCTGGGTGGCAGAAAAAAAAAGTGCTGCCCAAAAAGGAATCTTTCAGAATTATTCAATTAATAGTGTAAGGAGCAAAGATGTGACCCATTGCCAAAAATCAGATATAGATAATGGGTCGCTCTTCAAGAAACTGAAATGTCACATATCAGCAGATGCTGAACACTTAAACTATTGAATATTTACTTTTACGTTACTGGTATTTTAGTGGAAAGCAAACCATCTATGGCCATTGTGAGGGGGAAGCACTGTCCCTGTTGGATATTTAGCTTTTTTTATATTTTAAGGAATGCACCAATAGGCTTTAACAATAATCAAGATGACTGCAAAAAATGTTGTCTACATCAGGGGTCTCCAAACTTTATCAACAAAGGGCCGAATTACTGTTCCTCAGTCTTTAGAATGGCTGGACTGTGGCCAGTGAGAGTAGAAAATGCCCCAGCATCAGTGGGAGTAGCAGTGTCTCAGACTTGTGGTCAGTATTGGAGGAATAGTGCCCCATCATTGGTATTAGTTGAAGGAATAGTGCCCCATCATTGGTATAAGCTGGAGGAATAGTGCCCCATCATTGGAGTCAGTGGAAGGAATAGTGCCCCATCATTGGAGTCAGTGGAAGGAATAGTGTCCTATTGTTGGTGTCAGTGGAAAGAATAGTGCCCTATTGTTGGTGTCAGTGGAAGTAATGGTGCCTCATTGTTGGTGGCAGTGGAAGGAATAGTGCCTCATATCAGTGGGAGTAACAGATCCTATTATCAGTGGTAGGAACAGTGTCCCAGGGGCCTGATAAAGGCATGCAAAGGGCTGCAGTTTGGAGACCACTGCTCTACATCAAAACTGCAAAATATTACCCAAGCCCATTTCACAGTAAGGCAGCCATTGAATATAATATGGAAACATGCCGAAAATCCAATGTGACCCTTTTTTTGCAATGCAACGTATGTGCATTGCCTTAGTGCATTGGGGTGCAATGCAACGTAGCAGCGCATGTAATGTGTGCAACACATAACTTACTGCAACATGAAAGTGTAGATGGCCTCTCAAGGTAATGAAATACCATCAGCTGTTCATGCTGATGAAAATTAAAGTGGAACAATAGGGTTAAAAAAAATAACAAATGATACAGCCTTTTACAAAAGCTTTTGTATTTCAGAGCTGCCCCGTAATATTCTTATTACCTATTGATTTTGTCAATGGATCCATTATTTTTTTACTTCAAGCAAGCAACAAGTCAAGCTGTCCAGAAAAAGTGATATACTGGGGTTAGGACAAGCCATATTACACTGCCAGTGTTGCCTACAGCCTTTGTATGTGGTTTAACTTTTTTCAAAAATAAAAAGTAATTGTTGTAACTACTTAGAAACTATTTGCTTTAGTTTTTATGTTCATCACTTAAGTCTATTTAATACTATATGTTCACATAAGACTGCCCTATCCATGGGGTGGCAATGGTGCCATGTGATTTTACTGTGGAACAAACAGCATCATCACCCTGTTAGAGGAAGTAGAAACATAACAGATCTACTGGTGGGATCAGCAGATACTAAAACATGAAAACGTGGAAAAAATGTGTTGGTACTACAATTTCTGTGTTAATGGTAGGGACATCATATATGTCATTTTTTATATTTCCCATAATTCCAATTTAAGGGATTGCTGTCTTGCTTCACCTCTCTAATTTGTAGTAAATTTATTTTCCTTATTTTTTTCAGACATCCGCTATTTGGACGTAACGTACCCTTGTCCAGTGGATCAGGTTTTATCATTTCCGATTTGGGTTTAATTGTGACCAATGCCCATGTGGTGTCAAGCAGTAACACTGTATCGGGTAGGCAGTACTTAAAGGTACAGCTGCACAATGGTGACACCTATGAAGCAACAATAAAGGATATTGATAAAAAATCAGACATTGCTACAATCAAGATTTTTTCAAAAGTGAGTATAAGCTATATATAGGTAACACTTCAAGAAAACCTGTACTGTGAGAAATATGGGAGCTACCTTGGAGAACCTTTTTAAAAATGTTAGTTATCTGGCTCTTACTGGCTTCAGTATTTTCTGATTCCCTGACTTGAAAAATATACAGATAACTTCTTATCAGCGCACTTATTCCTGTTTAGAGACTACTTGTAGAGCAGACCCCATACAGGCCCGCAGATTTGTCCAAGGTTCTCTTCCTGTTTGGATGTATGGCTGCAGCACAGGCAGTCTCACAACTCAATAACCAGGCAGAGAATGTCTTTTTAAGTTTTAATGCTTGTTGAATTTGGATAGGGTGCAGGGTGAGCTTTGGGATACTCCAGATTTAGTGCACAAAGTAATACAGGACACTCCTTGACTTGACTGTACCCTTCAGAATAACCTTCCCCCCATCTTCACTGACAACAAGGGATCAAGCAACTTAGGGACTCCAAGCACAGGAACAGTCCCAATTCAGCAACACTGGAGCAGATGCTCAAAGGGATAAAGCAGCAACAGTCACTAGGATCCTTCACTCAGGCCTATACTCACAATGTCTCCATGTACTTGGATCCCTCAGTCCAATAGCATCCAGACACTTCTTCTGTGCGTTCTCAGGCCAGATCCTTAGCAAAACCCCTTTAAATTGGCTCCAGCTACTCTCAGAAAGTAGGCGCCCAAGTATCTTTGAGCTGGGACCTCGATGAACTCCTGCAGACTTCAGGTACTTTGCCTAGAAGGGTGGCTGCCCTACAGACTGGGTCTTCTCTTCCTGGACAAGAACATTGCTGTTTCATGCCCCAGACTATTTATGCGCTCCTCAGCCACCTACTGGCCATTTTCTCCCCTCCGGAATTGATTGCATACACGTGAATATTCAGGACCAGGGTCTGTCTCTTCCAACCCACAATATTCTAGAATCCACTAGAGGGCAGGGGGAAGCAGTTGAGTCCGCAGCCAGTGGGACCCAGAACAACCAAAAACAATCACATGCCACTCCACTGATTACAGAGCAGCTTGAAAAAAAAAAACTTAATTTACAAACCTTTCTAGCAACCTTTTCTAGGAGGGTGCAAATTACTGAAGGTATGGAATCAATAGAACTACCAGGCAAGTTTGTATTTTGAAAAGGAAAGGCCATAAATGGCAATGCAGGTTTATTGTAAGTCTTCTCTTACATGATATCTTTTTTGGACAATGCTTGCCAAGCACAATTACCTTTTTTACACAAGTAATCAAGCTGTTAAAATGACTAGGATTCATTCAGTTTATAGCTTGAAGATATAAAATAGTACTAAGCAGGTGACATGGAGCATGTGTAAAACTACCTGAACATGACTATGGGACTGAGATTACCTTGCAGCTGTGATTGACTGATGAAAAAAAAAGTCTACCGTCCGTATTCTGTGTTGCGTTAGGAAATGACTGGGATATTTGATGCTGGAATATTTTCACTTAGAAATAACATACATTGAGCCTCCTGTAGCAGCAGGGCTGGGATTTTCTTCGGCAGTCGTGCATGCTGTGTCTACAATTTTGTAATAGCAATAAGCAAAACTTATTATATTTCTCAAGGGAATTCCTGATACTACAACAAAAAACACATCTGGATACCTAATAAATACAGTTATTTGCCAAACTTAGATCTAGCATCAGCTGGGCTCTGTTATTCATAGTGGGGGAGATTTACTAAAACTGAGGGACTCAGAATCTGGTGTAGCGTGTGCATGGTAGCCAATCAGCTTCTAACTTCAGCTTGTTCAATTAAGCTTTGACAATAAAACCTGGAAGCTGATTGGTTTCTGTGCAGAGCTGCACCAGATTTTGCTTTCTCCAGTTTTAGTAAATAACCCCCACTGTGTCTTTATTATGGATTGATAAGGTTATTTTTTTCATATTAGAAATCTAATGTAAATTTGTTCAGATACAGAAGCATGTGCATTGTTACTCATCTATATAAACAATTGTAACACTTTTATTCCACTTCCACTTTATTCCACAGAAAAAGCTCCCAGTCCTAACATTGGGCCATTCAGCAGATCTAAGGCCTGGAGAGTTTGTTGTGGCCATTGGAAGCCCATTTGCCTTACAGAACACAGTGACCACAGGAATAGTAAGCACAGCTCAGAGAGATGGAAGGGAGCTGGGCTTGAGAGACTCTGATATGGATTATGTGCAGACTGATGCCATCATTAATGTAAGTTCTTAAACCTCATTTTTATATGATAGGTGCTGATATTCTTAATGTTATGGACCAATATGTTAGTAGTGTATAGTTTTCTGGTTGTTTGGACATAGATATTAGTTTGTCTGTTGCTTTTGAGATTTACAATACAAATTTCATAGTGCAACTAATAAATGTGTTCCATGATAGCAATAACATCTACTGCAGTGCTCTGAAGAGTACATTGAAACAATCAATTAGCTCCCATCTCGAAAAAATAACTTACAATGTAATGTCCTACCACATTTATTCAAGCATACTCATACACTGTATAAATATAACAGATTGAATGAGCGCAACTAAATTAATAAAGTAAAAAAAGTGCGGATAATAATAAATAGACAAGCTGCTAGCATGAAAGGTATTCCTCAGCATCTCAGTAACAAATTCAAAACATAGAACATGCAGCGCTAGATGTTATAATAAGTTTTGTAATAAATGAGAATAATAAAGTCCCAAATAAAGAGTCCTTAAAGACAGGAGTAATATATATCAATAGTGCTCCATGCAGTGATCAAAAAAGTCCACACAGTGGGCAAACTGGTCAAGTGAAGAAATAGCAAATTCCTTGTAGTAATGATTTTATAATGCGCTTACCAGAACTACATACAAAATGCGCGTTGTATGTATATACTCTGTAAAGGACATCAGGGTCTGGTCACTGGTATGCTGTCATCAGAGCGCCCTAGCAGACTCCCAGAGAAGATAACAAGACACGCTCCCGGTCCACCTCAGGACTCACCAATGGGTCACCAATGGGTCCACCGTCGCTCAGACTCCAGATGTCGATCCACCTTAAGGAGGCTCGTGCAATAACAAGCCAGGGAGGCAAGATAGTGCTGATAGTGTAATATAGCTTTTATTGAATAAAATCCAAAGTATTCAAAGGGGACACTCACATCAAAGTATAGTATCCTGTAGTCAATCCATATACATCAAAAACGTAGATTCAGTAAGGTCAGCGTCACATTGAGGGATCCCCCTGACATGTTTCGTGTAAATCACACGTTTTCAAAGGGGTTTTCAATAAAGGCTATATTACACTATCAGCACTATCTTGCCTCCCTGGCTTGTTATTGCACGAGCCTCCTTAAGGTGGATCGACATCTGGAGTCTGAGCGACGGTGGACCCATTGGTGACCCATTGGTGAGTCCTGAGGTGGACCGGGAGCCTGTCTTGTTATCTTCTCTGGGAGTCTGCTAGGGCGCTCTGATGACAGCATACCAGTGACCAGACCCTGATGTCCTTTACAGAGTATATACATACAACGCGCATTTTGTATGTAGTTCTGGTAAGCGCATTATAAAATCATTACTACAAGGAATTTGCTATTTCTTCACTTGACCAGTTTGCCCACTGTGTGGACTTTTTTGATCACTGCATGGAGCACTATTGATATATATTACTCCTGTCTTTAAGGACTCTTTATTTGGGACTTTATTATTCTCATTTATTACAATACTCATACACTGTTATGGTCACTTGCATCAAACACTGGTCAATTTAAAGTGGACCTTTACCCATAACAACTTGATGAAAATGTTCTTCAGCAAGAAACCTACATTCCACTTTAAGAATTATGCTACCAAAATTAGTTTGTACGGTAAATTGACTCGAGCATTGTTCCTGTTTTTTCTTGTTGAAGGCTGCCATTTTTCTGAAGCCCAGATCCCCCTGAACAATAGTAAATCTTTAGGCTATCAGCAGAGCGGCCTCTACAAATTCAGCACACTCCTTAAAAATAGAGAAGAACCGAGCATGTGCAGAGCAGGGTGAGACAGTGTATTACTGGATTTTAAGCAGTCTAGACACTTATTTTTAATGTTTTACATGGCTAGACCTGCAAAAGGGGACCAGCTTGAAGTGATCAAGTAGGACTTATTTTTTGGCTCAAGTTCCACTTTTAAGAACATGGGTTTTGGATTGTGGATGTAAACCAAATGTGGTGTCAAGAAAAGCAAGACAAGAATGCTTAGCCACCATAATAACCTCTTTTAACATTGTGAGAATCCAGAAACATCTCATGGTGACCTCATTTAGATTTTGAATGAAATTATAGCTTGTAGGGCTTTAAAGTCCTCACTAAAATGCTAATTTGGTTTTCAACACCAAATTTGCTATTCCAAAGGAATTTTTCTTGCTGCATTTAAATTGATTACGTCTCACCTTGCAGTAAACAAATATATTAAAGTCCAACCATACAGACATAATCACAAACAACATGGAAGCAGCTCAGCTGGCTAAACAATTGTCCCAACCTCAGCAGACAGTGCTCTCCCAGAGGGCATCCATGATTCCTGATTTTGGCTGAAATGCATAAGAAAGGGGACACCTTTGTTGTAGCTTTATACATGTCAATAAAGATATTTTATATTCTTTTATTTCATTTTGGAAAGATTAGGAAATGGTTAAAAAACTATGTTCCATTCAATATCTGTGGTCGAGTCAATAGATATCCCTTCACTTCTTGTTCTCTAGACACAACACAAAGTCACTCGAAATCTTTGAAAAGTGGGGTAAATCAAATTTGCGACAATTGTCACTAGAACAAGTAGATGGTAGATTTTCTTTCAATTCCCGTTCTGGTGTCACCTCAAACTTTGCAGTCCCAGCAACAATGGTCACCAGGACAAATAGAGGGGTGAAGGTCGTCAGGAGGGATATGAACAACAATAAAAGCTGAACTCTATCCAAAACTGAAAAATAAAGATTTGCCTTTGGATATACTTTATATATACTGATTTGACGTACACATGACATGAACTTTTCATACTCAAGGTTTCCATGGAAAACTGGGAACAACCAAAAGTAAATTAGAAATAAGTTAGAATGTTATTAACTACCTACAGGTTTGCCTCAGTTTTTTTCATGGAAACCATGAGGGCACTCTGTGTACATACAGTGATTGTTAGAAGATACTTTTTGTCAACAAGCATATTGTGCAAGCATACTAATGTGTATCTTAAAATGTGTTTGCTTTATTTATAGTATGGAAATTCTGGGGGTCCTTTAGTAAATTTGGTGAGTGTATTTATGTATTTATTGTACTGAATGATAAAGTGTAGAAAGAATTGTGAGTGTGTGGACATTTTTAGTTTCATTCAGTTTGATGTGTGGTGTGTTTGTTCAGTATCAAAACTGCAATATATTTGGACATTGATGGTGCACTCAAGAAATGCAGGGAAGTTTCAGGCAATGTTTTTTGGATAGCTTGTTAAATATTCCCCCCATAAAGGTAGATATACCATGGCTAAATGTTTGTAGGCACCTGACCATCAAATCCATTTGAGCTTCTTAGATATCCCATTCCAAAACCATGGACATTAACTCGGATTCCCTTTCCTCCCTTCTATTTGTGGCTGTAACAGCCTCCATTCTTCTTGTAAAGGTTGACTCACGATTTTGGAGTGTGTACTGTATGTGAAAATTTGTGTCTAATTAGCAAAAAAGGTATTTGTAAGATCAGGTAATGATGTTGAACAAGAAGACCTGGCTCGCAGCATCAGCATTCAAATTCATCTTCAAGGAATTCATTAGAGTTGCAATCAGGACTTTGTGCATTCCTCCACAGCAGACCCCACAAACCATGCCCTTATGGACCCAGCTTTGTCCACAGGGGCACACACATCCTGGAACAGAAAAGGACCTTCACCAAACTATTGCCAGAAGGTTGGAGGCACACAGCTGTATAAAATGTCTTTATGTGCTATAGCATTAACAGCACCCTCCACTGTAAACACATGAACTCAATTATTTGGGGGGGGGGGGGTCCACATACTTTGACCACATACATATAGCGATGGTGTGATGGTTGTCCATATACTTTCATTCATATATTATAGTCCTTGGCAGCCCTGTAATATGCTTCATCCTACCTTCAGCCTATATAGACTGTTTGTTCTTCTCTATATAGATGTTGTGATAGCATCATGTCATTGTTTATCTCTACAGGACGGAGAAGTGATTGGTATTAATACTCTGAAAGTCGCAGCTGGAATCTCTTTTGCAATTCCATCTGACCGCATCACAAAATTCATGACTGAGACACATGACAAAAAATTTAAAGGTAAAGGAAAAGGAAATGCTTCTAGACAAAATTCCAATGAAATTATTATTTCTCTCACCTAGTACCGAGGGTTCCACCTTTCCTTAGGCTTCACATAGAGAAGCCAAACTCCTACAGAGAACAGAACTGGGAAAATTGTTTTTTGAAACTGTTGTAAAACCCCTTAGCAACAGAATTGAACACTGAGCTTCATGTTTATTGCTACCCTAGATTTAAACTTCACCCAAAACTGTCCATTTATATGTAGGTGAGATTATTGGGAGGCTTTTTTCAAAAGTATACTTATTTTTGCAGTTCCACTGCTAGAGTCAGATTCTGTAGTACTCCCCGTTTTGTGTGTTGAAGGATTCCATTTTAAAGTCAGTGGGTTGACACATATTTCTATCATGGTGAGGTTTGCCAGAAGAAGTTGACAACATTGGATGTTAATATAAGTCTGAAATGCTAAGTTGCTGGCTCGCTATCTCCACATTAAACCCCACTCACTGCCACCATTGCATGCTTCATCTTGATGTTGGTGCTTACTGCTACTATGTACTCTACAGAAAACAGCACATGAATGTAGATGATTTTACATTCCTGAATTTAGGATTTTATTTTAAAGAAGAGTTGTGAATGATAATTCTCTTTAATATGAGTGTTACTGTAAAGCAGGTGTTCCTTAACCAGAGTTCTATGGTACCCTATGATTTCTCCAAAGGTTGCTATGGGTTCCTTAAGCAATGAGCAATTTCTGCCTCTCAAATAAGTTCCCACTGACCCCATTGATCTTTTTAGCTATCTATGCTTCCCAATGACCACAAGTGTAAGGAGCATTCTTCCCACTGATCACCATACTAATGCATCATGAGTTGAAGATACAGTTTACAATTTTTAGCAGGGGTTCCCATAGACCAGAATATTTTTTAACATTCCTCTGTGTTGAAAAGGTTGAGAAAGGCTGCTGTAGAGACTTTTGACACCTCTCAGAGGCCCCCCTCACCGTTAGCTATGTGGCTGGATTTACATGCAAGTGTCCTTATGTGGCCAGAGATGGTTATATTAAAAGAGAAAAGTAATCGCAAATGTTCAATATGTTTCTTTGGTGATTCTTTGTTCTGTTGCCATTTGGAAATGTTGGGCCCAAACCAGGGTTTGCAGTCAATCTGGTTAGTCCATGGAGAACATTCAATTATTCAAATAACCAATCTCCATAGTAAACTGGTAAAGGAGTATTTTGAACCCCTATCTTGCTCACTCCTATGTTAAAAAGTGTGCAAGTGGTCCCTTCTCCCAGTCGTTCTTCTGTATAGAGCACAGTCCTCCTTTCATCCTTGCCAAACAGAGACAAAAGGACCAATAAGTGATTACATATTATAATGATAAAATAGCACACCTACATAAGCAATGGTGGTTGTGGGACATGCAGTTAGAAGGCAGTGCATATCTAGAGACTGAAGACGAGCATTAGCGTGAAATGCATTGGGAAGAGCTATATGTGCTGCTCCATACTGCCCCAAACTACATCACTGACATAATATCCAAGTACCGCCCAGCACGCACACTCCGCTCCTCACAAGACCTCCTTCTCTCTAGTTCCCTGGTCTCCTCCTCCCGTGCCCGAATCCAGGACTTCTCCAGGGTGTCACCCATCCTCTGGAACTCCCTGCCCCAACCCATCAGATTATCACCTACTCTCCTCTCCTTTAGGCGCACCCTGAAAACCCAACTCTTCAGGGAAGCCTACCCCACCCCCTGCTAACCTGCCGACCTCCTCCACTCTTCCTACCACTCCATCCCCCCCACAGCTATCTCCTCCTGTGCCACCATCCCCTCCCTCCTAGATTGTAAACTCAAAAGAGCAGGGCCCTCGATCCCCTTATGTTTTGCATTGTATTGGTATTGTTCTGTCACATGTTCTGTCCCCCTCTGTAATGTACAGCTCTGAGCGAACTATTGGCGCTTTATAAATACTGTATAATAATAATAATAAAAATGTGCTGATGTCCACCGCCATTTCCAGTTCAGTGGTCATCTTATTAAGTGATTGTTCCATACTGTGGCTTACTGTTTGAATGTGATGTAAGATTTTGGTTTTTAGCGTTAATTGATGGATTTAGATGTATTTTACAAATAAAAAACTACACTATATTGCATCTTTTGCTGCTCCATATGGTGAGCATTCCTTCAAAGCTTGACATATTGGCAGGTGGCGGCCCCTTGCTGGACAGGAGTATCATCAGAAGAGTTTATTTTCCCACATTGAGAAGCCCTTGTTTTTATGCGAGTTTTGCTGCCCTCTTTATGCAGCTCAAAAGGTTGTGAGTGTGTAGAAGTGGCGGTATATATCTACACTTGGTGATGCACTTTTCTGGTGAAAGACTGAAATATGCTGGCTTTTGATACAGTCATGGCCGAAATTGTTGGCACCCTTGATATTTCTCCAGGAAATCATGTATTTCTCACGAAACGTATTGCATTAACACATGTTTTGCTATACACATGTTTATTCCCTTTGTGTGTATTGGGACAAAACAAAAAAAGGGAGGAAAGAAAGCAAATTCGACATAATGTCACACAAACCTCCAAAAATGGGCTGGACAAAAGTATTGGCACCCTTTCACAACTGCGGATAAATAAGAATGTTACAAGCATGTGATGCTCCTGTAAACTCACCTGGGGCAAGTAACAGGTGTGGGCAATATAGAAATCACACCTGAAAGCAGATAAAAAGGAGAGACGTTCACTTAACCTTTGCATTGTGTGTCTGTCTGTGCCACACTAAGCATGGACAACAGAAAGAGGAGACGAGAACTGTCTGAGGACCTGAGAACCAAAATTGTGGCAAAATATCAACAATCTCAAGGTTACAAGTCCATCTCCAGAGAACTAGATTTGCCTTTGTCCACAGTGCGCAACATTATCAAGAAGTTTGCAACCCATGGCACTGTAGCTAATCTCCCTGGTCGTGGACGGATGAGGAAAATTGATGAAAGATTGCAACGCAGAATAGTCCGGATGGTGGATAAGCAGCCCCAAACATGTTCCAAAGACATTCAAGCTGTCCTGCAGGCTCAGGGAGCATCAGTGTCAGCGCGAACTATCCGTCGACATTTAAATGAAATGAAACGCTATGGCAGGAGACCCAGGAGGACCCCACTGCTGACACAGAGACATAAAAAAGCAAGACTACAGTTTGCCAAAATGTACTTGAGTAAGCCAAAAGCCTTCTGGGAAAACGTCTTGTGGACAGATGAGACCAAGATAGAGCTTTTCGGTAAAGCACATCATTCTACTGTTTACCGAAAACGGAATGAGGCCTACAAAGAACAAAACACAGTACCTACGGTAAAATATGGTGGAGGTTCAATGATTTTTGGGGTTGTTTTGCTGCCTCTGGCACTGGGTGCCTTGACTGTGTGCAAGGCATCATGAAATCTGAGGATTACCAAAGGATTTTGGGTCGCACTGTAGGGCCCAGTGTCAGAAAGCTGGGTTTGCGTCCAAGATCCTGGGTCTTCCAGCAGGACAATGACCCCAAACATACGTCAAAAAGCACTCAGAAATGGATGGCAAAGAAGCGCTGGAGAGTTCTGAAGTGGCCAGCAATGAGCCCAGATCTAAATCCCATTGAACACCTGTGGAGAGATCTTAAAATTGCTGTTGGGAAAAGGTGTCCTTCCAATAAGAGAGACCTGGAGCTGTTTGCAAAGGAAGAGTGGTCCAAAATTCCGGGTGAGAGGTGTCAGAAGCTTATTGATGGTTATAGGAAGCGACTGATTTCAGTTATGTTTTCCAAAGGGTGTGCAACCAAATATTAAGTTAAGGGTGCCAATACTTTTGTCCAGCCCATTTTTGGGGTTTTGTGTGACATTATGTCATATTTGCTTTTCTGCCTCTGTTTTATATTTGTTCCAATACATACAAAGGGAATAAACATGTGTATAGCAAAACATGTGTTAATGCAATATACCTTTTTTGTGTGAAATACTTGATTTTCAGGAAAAATATCAAGGGTGCCAACAATTTCGGCCATGACTGTATAAGAAACTTTTTAATGGATTGCTGCTGGATGCATCATTTTCTCTTAAAGGCACATTGACACCTTTTGTAGACTTTTTCAATTATTTAACTTTTATATGATGCACTTTGTTTTTTACTGTGTATATATGAATTATCTGTTTATGTATTTCTTTTGTGAATTTGGAACTGCATATTTTCTGTCTTTGCAAGTTTGGATTTGCCAGATCATCAGAAGAGCAAACCCACAAAGATTGCTCATCGCCAGTAAATGCAGCCCTGCCTATACTGTTTTCTCTGAATTCATATCAGCAGGAGGTAGCTAGCTTGACCATAAGGAATGTTTAGATCCTTGTTCTTTGTCTCTACTAAAGGGCACTCCCTGAAAAAAAGTACTGTAAATAGAATCTGACACAGGCTATACATATCATCAACCACCCAAAATGAAATTAATAGTTTAGATTGAAGATCTTCTTTAGGATAACATATCCCTTGTCTGTGTTTAACAGTCAAACAGCAACAATCTGATGTTTATAGCTCAAACTGTGCACTTAGTATTTCTCCATTATGATCTGCACTATCAATTCAAGCCTTTTATTGAACAAAATAAATAAAACCCATTGCACAATAAGGCAAATATTTGTCATTTATGTACATTTTATAGCATTTGTTAATGTATTGTATATTTTCCCACTGCCAAGGACGCAGTTTTGCACATTGTAACATTTCTGATTTTCCTTTCTATTTGTTTATGTTATGTCTGAGAGTTTCGGGATGGGAGACAGGGATCTGGAAGGAGTCATCAGTGTTCTTATAAAATCCAGTTCTTGTATTTATTCTATTGTGGTCAAATATTAATATCCCCAATCCAACCGTCTTGTCACTGTTTGTTTCTTCAGACGGGAAAAAGCGTTTCATCGGGATAAAGATGCTGACTATAACTCCTACGTAAGTCAAGAAGAGGAAATTGTCTACATGCCAAAAATGTTTTTATTGCCTGACATGGAGAGGTTTGAGCTGCAGTGTTTGAAATTTTTACAAAATACATTTCTGGCCAGAGCCTGTGTACTCACAAAAAGGATTAATGTTTTGGAAGAAGCATAAATTGCTTTTGTTTTTTATCTTCTTTTTAGTTTCCATGTGAACTTTTATAGACACAGATTTTTTATTTATTACTAGTGGACAGGAATACATAGGATTTCTTTTTGACAATTGGAAATGTTGCCCTTTTTTTAAAGCTGTACTCAAGGCAAAAAGCTATATAGCAATTTAAGGAGGAACTAAGCTCAATCAACATGAACTATTTTTAATCCTTATGCTGCTAGAATGAGTAAATAAATAGGAAGGTTTATTTACTTGTTTTAACGTCATGAGCTCTGGAACGTTTTCCTGCCTTCATGACCAGGCCATTTCTTGCTATTTAGCACTGCGCTGCTTTATCTGGTAATTGCACGGTCATGCAACTCAACACCCAAGCTAAATTTATATAATTTTCACACAGTTAGATGGTATTTGATCACCACTGGGTTTTTTCATGCTTTATTATATAAACAAAAAAAGGCTGAACATTTTGAAAAAAAAAGAACAATTTTTTTACTTTCTGCTATAAAATATATCCAATAAAAAAAAGAAAATTTCTTCGAAAATTTAGGGCAAAATGAATCCTTCTACATGTCTTTGGTAAAAAAAGAATCCCAATAGTAGTATATGTATTCATTTGTAAAGCGCTGAGCAAACTGTTGGCGCTATATAAATCCTGTATAATAATAATAATTTGCGTTATAGCGTCTACAAAATATGGTATATATACTGGAATTTTAATTTATTAAATTTTTGATACTACTGGCAGTGATCAGCAACTTATAGTGGGACTGTAATATTGTGGGGGGCAATCAGACACGGGGTGGGAACTGACTAACTGCCAAGAGATATAGAATACAAGAATACAGTGATCGGTGATAATACATTATCACTGTACTAATGACACTGGTTGGGAAGGGGTTAACATTTCGGGTAATCAAGCGGTTAGGTGTGTGCCTAACAAGTGTTATTTTGTGTAATATGTGCTGCTTTTTACTAAATATCGCTCTGATTGCTTCATCTGTACGGAGCCCTGTGTTGATTGTCAACACAGGGCTCTGGACTGTGATTGACACAGCTGATCAGCAGGTCCTGGCCATGAATCATTGGTCGGGACCTGCTAACAAACTTCTTCTGTGTACAGTCACATCAGGGGGATGGTGGGCAGGGGTGCATGCGTGCGGCCTGTACCTGGAAGAGGCCAGTGACACACAGGTACGTTGCTGTGACTGTATGGCCTGCCCGTCTGCAGTACATTGTGGGTGGGCAGTCTGCTATTATTATTATTATAATACAGGATTTATACAGCACAAACAGTTTGCTAAGTGCTTTACAACAATCTACTAGTGGTTAAGCCTTTTTTTTTTTTTACAGTTCTTCAGTTTTTTGCCTGGTTTCTGGCCTAGGCCAAAATGAAGTCATACATCCAATGAATTTTCATGGACTTTCTTTCCCTTCATCTGGGGGGGATGGCAGGGAGGGGGGAGGCCCTCTCTCAGCTAAGCACACCCTCCTATCTGCATGCATGATCTAAGGGCAGATGGATTACAGGAAGTAAATGCTACAGTACATCCAGAAAGTATTCCCAGCGCTTAACTTTGCCACATTTTGTTATGTTACAGCCTTATTTCAAAATGGATTAAATTCATTTTTGTCCTCAACATTCTACAAACAATACCCCATAATGACAACATGAAAGAAGTTCATTTTGAAATCTTTGAAATTTATAAAACAAAAAAAAAACCCCCCGAAAAAAGACATTCACGGCCTTTAATTTAAAATGACCACATCTCAAAATGCTAGGGGGGGGTGTTTTTGAAAGTAATTTCTCAACAAAAAGCATGGAGACATGGATGGGCAAGGTTGCAAGGTTGCTTTGAATATTAAAAATAAACTAATTAGAGTTTTCAATTTGTGGTGCTCAGATACAGTTAAGTTCAGCTTTAAGTACACATATAAGAACTGCAGTTTCATGTTTATTTACAGGTCCCTTTCCACCCCTTATTTTGTGATTGGACAGTGAAAGGAGAAGCAACAGACTGATGAATTTATCTCTCTTCTCCTTACACCTGATTGGCTGCATGCACTGCTTCTCCTTCTCCTCTCTGAGCTCTACTGTGCAGACTGTACAATAGAGAGCAAGAGGCTGATACCAGTTAAATTCAGATACATACACTGCTTTCATTAAGTTGTGCACTTTATATCTGCCCAGATTTAAGCTTTAAAGGGCATTTCTGCCTCAAGGTAGAAAAAAAATGTGACTTCACTTTTTTTTCTTTTCACTGAGGAAATCAGTGACATATTTGTGATGAAACTGCATAAGGTCTAACTTGAAGATTGTACCAACCACACATGATATCAAAAAGGGGCAGTGCTTTGTGCAGTAGACATTTTGGACTGAGGGATCCTCCTCTGTTACAATATGCAGGCATGTGACAGAGCTATTGTGGTGGAAATTTTTTGGGATCTGTGACAATTCTAAATGGTACACATAACTCAATAGTATTGAGAATAGGAAGACCTTTAAGCCAGACCACAGACTTGGCTAGCAAAGAGCTGAAGGTGAGCCTATACTCTGGGCTATGACTACATTGTAAATCATCAATATAATCATGCTCAGAGCAATTAAAAAGTAGCCTTTACAGTAATCCTGTATGTTAAAGTGGCTCTTTAACTTTACCAGCGAAAACAAAGCTTTTAACAAATATAACGTACAGGCACTTATGCATATATGAACAAATAACTAGTATTATTATTATTTATTATTATACAGAATTTATATAGTGCCAACAGTTTGCTCAGCACTTTACAATTACAGCACTTGAACAATACAGTTCAATACAAGAGGGAAAGGAGGGCCCTGCTCCTTGGAGCTTACAATCTAGGAGAACTAAAAGTGTTCTCTTTATCAGAAGAAGGCCTTTTTATTTAGGTAGAAAGAGCTTATATATGGGAGCTAGCTTCAAGTGACAGAGCTTTAAGGACTCAGCCATTTTCTTTCTTCTTCTTTTTAAAGGCTTTTTTTGGCCAGTTTATAAGAATAAAGTTCCGAAAACACAAAGTTTCCCTTGCAGGGGTATTCAGTATTGCTCTACCATCTGAAAAAAACAAACAACATTCAGTCTCCTGGCCTTTAGTTTGGTCCCACAGACCATGACACAGTACCATTCAATATCTCTCTCCAATAGCTTGATCCATATGCTTGGCAGCCCCTTGCTGCTTTGGCTCTCATCTGTACTCCTGGACAGCGACCTCCTCTGCCTGTCGGTTGGAGCCCTCCTGGCTCCTGGGTGAAGACCTCCTGTCTGCCGGGGTGGAGCCTAGAACCCTAGTCAGGTCTCTCCTAAAAGCCCAGCACACACCTGTCCAATTAGTCCGATGGTGGTTCTCAAAACATGGACCCAGGATTGGAGATTTCAGCCCTCTCCAGGCTCTAGGCCCCAAACCAGGTTTTACATCAATTAAAAAATACACATATAAAGCTACTGACAAGCGTAAAGCAGAAACTTTCAGTGCCTCCACTTTGCCCGATCATGGATCCATTCTGTAGAGATGAAGCTTCAGCACTTCCTGGTAGTGTCAAAGTTTGCCTGTTCCTCTCTGCTTTCCATATATTGCTATTTGAAAGTGAAACAGCCCATCATAGTAATTTTGAAGAAGTGACATTAGCAGGATATGTTGGGTCTGTGATTAATCAGAATATCCCTATATTTAGGTGCAGTTGGGGCACTGGATGCCAAAGCAGGTATTCATCTGTAGGTACCTACACTTTATACCCACCAAAAGCTTTTTTTCTTATAAATACCTCTTACTACCTAACCAATGATACCTTCTTATAAAAATAAACAATGGACATACCTTAGAAAGATTTATTTTCATATTTTAATTGTAGGATATTTAGTATTTGTTTGACAATGGTAATATGCATCTTTCATTCTAACAAACAAACCTAAAGATAAAAAGCCATAGTGTGCTAATACTGTCACCATAATGTAGTGTATAAATAAAATAAAGAACAATCCTTATAAGGATGAAGGGCTAATAATACTCTACTACTTTGGTTTTAGACTTGTTGAAGAGCTAAAACTAAACAATCCAGATTTTCCTGATGTTAGCAGTGGAATATATGTCCATGAAGTGGTGTCCAATTCACCAGCTCAGAGGTAAGAATCCAAAACTATATTGTAATGGCTTATTCAGAAACATGGACTGATCCTAAGACTTTCTGAAGAAAAGCCCCACTGCAGTTAGAACTTTTTTCTTGTCTTTGATCTAATTGGAAAAGGTTTTTATTGTTGTTCTTTGTCGTCATTAGAAGTGTTTTCCCTGTTTCCTTTTACAGTGACACCTTAAAAGGAAGTGAAGTGGAAGGTAGTGGGTGACTGATTTAAATGTCTCTCAATTTTTGAGCTTTACCATTTGTCAAGAATTGAGATGTGATTATACTGTATGTCCTGTTATTGTTGTCTGTCAGTCCTTGATGATAATATTGGAAAAAGCTCTCACTTACTTCTAATATAGGCTGTTGGCACAGTGTGGGTAAAGAATCCTTCACTACTTTTGAATTTTTCAGATTAATAAGGAAAGATGATTTTTTTTTTTTCATAGGGAGTACAGATTAGTCATGGCTGACCATGTACCTGATTGTAGTAAATGCCTTGACAGAGATTCTCTTTCTTGAAACTGGAGGATGTTTGGTCAGCTGGTAGCACTATCAACAGTATACACCATTTTAAAAGCAAGGCCATAGGTTACGCAATTTTCTTTCCTTTCACCATACGTGGAAGGAATGAAAATTGCTCGTTTCCCCCTTCAACACAGTCAGTGTTCATGGGGGAATCCATCCTGGGGCGCTGTTGTATTCTGTCTGTGAGCCTTCCCTTACAGCAGAACACAATTATTGTTGCTGGCTACATCAGTGACACTAATCGTTTGGGAAAAACCAGACAGACTGGTTGTACACAAGTCAATCAATAGATCGACTTTTGTACAACCAGAGTGCCCATACATGGATGCGATTCACCCATCCCTGCTGAATTGGCTGAATTTCGATCCATGTATGGACAGCTTAAGGCAAGACCAAACTCTAAAGCTCTGTATTATGTAACCTCCTTTGTGAACCACTTAGTATCTGCCACAATAAAACACTTTGGAGTGCAATGATGGTGTATGGTATATTCCCCATGTAATGCTGCATTAGCACTGATCATAAATTATATTCAGTAATTTAGTTTTGATTAGTGATATGGTATTTTTAGGTGCATTCTAAATAATAATTTTGCTCCATTGATCACTGAAAACTAGTAAACAGCTTGTAACCATAACCCTACTTTCTAGTCTATCTACAGCATTATAGGTTGTTTGCAATAGAAAGACTAATAAAGGCTGATTAGTCTTATCAATTATTGGAAATGGTGAAGTTTAAAGTTTAGTGATTAACTCATTTTATCATTTCATCAGAGGTGGGATCAAAGACGGGGACATCATTGTGAAGGTGAACGGGGCGACCACTGATGACATCTACTGATTTGCACAACGCTGTAATGAATGAATCACCTTTACTACTTGAAGTTAGAAGAGGGAATGATGACCTTCTGTTTAACATAGAACCTGACGTTTCCATGTAATGAAAAAATAAAAAAAATAAAACAAATAAAACATTTATACAAGTCAGAACATTAAGCTCACAAAGTCAAAATCCACCTAATGGAAAGTACTAAGAACATTGCCTCAGTAGATCAGATGTTCTTTTGAAAAGCATAAGACATGTTTTCCACTGAAACACTTGGAAATGCAGCTGGTGCCAACTATGGAAGGACTGGGCCTGGCAAGAGAACGGTCTTTTCTCTGGTCTGTATTCAATGGACATGAAATAGTTGCAGTGAATGTTCTGCACAACAACAAAAAATACCTCTTTTGGAGTCAATGACTATATTCTTTCCGGTGGGTTAATTGACAATTTGAGCTGTGTCTGTACTGTACGTCATAAACAAAGAACTTGCAGGTCAGTCAAAAATCTTGAAGTTTTCCTTATTATAAGAGGTACAGAGACAACTAAGGAGTAGAAGAAGTGTGGACACATATGACTTTCCTTAGGCTGTAGAATAGATGTTTTCTATAAAACATATATAAACACCACTGTACAAAATTAAGCAGAACACCAAAATGATAGCATAACATAAAACATCTTGTATTCAGTACAATAGATAGATGTTAGTTCACCAACTGGGTACAATACCAAGTAGTTTTTGCCTTGGCAATGCAAGGCAAAGACACAGCAGCATATCCTCACCTTTCCTTCTATTCCCTGCTCGTACTTCCAGGTATGGCAAACCATGTGACTCACTCTTCTTCCTCTCATATGACAACGATTGGCATGATAATTGAGGATGGGGAGACAGTCCTTGGCACCATGTAACCCCAACTACAGAAACGTGAAACATACACAAGGTTTAGAATATACAATATCCTACCTTTTAAATGCTGCCACTTCAGGGCTCCTAATTGCTCTCCATTCAGTTTACCAGAAAGAAAATACCCTTTTTGCTATGCGGTCATGTGATCACAAAGCTCCATCTCCTATTTGTATTGTGGAAGTCCAACAATGGAGCTGAATCACAGAGAGCATTGATGTCATCCATTGGCATTTACTGCTTTTAGGTGATGCCAGAGGGGAAGAGTGATCCATTCTGCCAACTGAACATTTACACATAGGAGATGGAGCTTTGCATAGAAAGACAAAAATAATTTTTGCTCAAATATACGCAGGGCAATGTGGAGCACTGGGGAGGCAGCATTTAAAAGGTGGTGTGCTGTGTTGCCTAAACGTCTACTGTAATTTCCTCACTCTTGGTGGCTGAATGGGTTCACAGGGGATCAAAGAAAGGTGAGTTTGTTCTGTTGGGTAATCCTCTGACTGGGGGATAGTGATCTACAAAGTATTACTTATCTTAATAAAACACTTTTTGAAAAAATAAACTATTTGTAATAATTTGTAATACAATACCAATTAAAGTAGCCCAGAAAAGGCGGACTCTGCTGTTTTGCAGGCAACAAAAATAGTTTAACTAGTACATATGGCCATCCCTTAGAATTTAGTAAAATCATGTGAATCAGGATATGAATGGACCAGTATTCTATTGTTAACCCTCTTAGAAAAGTTTCAGAGAAAAGTTGCTACCCTGAGTAATGAATATAAGAGGTATAAAGAATCAAAAATATCTTCCTGACTCTCATAATCCTTGGATGACCAAATCTGGAAGTACTTGCTATGTGACGTACGTTTCATGGAAGCTTTAGAGTTCAGGTAGAACTACTGAATGGCCAGCTCTGGCTTAATGTAACTTGCCAAAAGCCCCTTCAGCTGAGATCATGTGACCAGTGCTCCAATTTCTGGTCTACTGACCAGCATCAGTAGGGGGATAGCTCAAAGATTCTGGGAAGGTAAGCTTGTCTGGTGAGTTTGTACATTTAATACTAATTGTTTTGGGGAAATTGGGGGGGGGGGGGGTGCTTTTCCTAGCACTCATAGGATTTGATTTAATAAAATTGAGAACATCAAAATCTGGTGCAACTCTGCATAGAAACCAATCATTTTCCAGGTTTTATTGGCAAATCTGAAGCTAGATGCTGATTGGCTACCACACGCAGCTGCACCAGATTCTAGGTGCACCAGTTTTAGTAAATCTCCCGCATAGCGTAGTTTCACTTTACACCCAAACATTATCTCTTTCACCTTCATTAGGCAGTCTGTTTGTGCAAAAAGCAGTGATAGCCAGAGGTATAGATGAGTGGAACTTTCATAACCAGTTAATAGGGGTTTTCAGCTAGTCAGAAAACAAAATAGAAAAGTTTATCACATCCGAGGATAGCCATACTTTTGGGGGAAAAAATTTCATTTTTAGATTTGATCAACCCCATTTGAGTTATTCTGTGCTTAACAATCTAATCATTAGTATTAGTGCCATGTTTGTAATCTACTGATGTGGTTATAGGTGCACTTGGGTATTATTTCTACAGCTATCAGATCCACTTTAAATAAATAGGTACTTTGGATCGTATGCTATGGAAATTCCATCAGAATCTAGTCATTCTAGAATATATCACATGATTCTTATAGAATTAATGACTTATAAATGCGCAGGTAACACACCTTGTGCAAAGTCATATGGGTACCCATCAGTGCCTTGTTCCACAGGAAAATCCTACTTTATGCAGGTCATTTACAATGTATTTTGTGTACTGTATATATTTCTGCTGTAAAAAAAATAAAGTTTATATACTGTATAAATGTGTGTTATATGATTTTTTTAAAAAACAGTTATTTTCACTGTAAGTATTGTTAGATGTAAAAGTTTAAGATGCATTTTGATAAATTGACTGCCACTGGCCGGTGTAGATCCAATATGTCACCAGTGGCAGACATAAGCAAATGTCTAAGGAGAGTTTTCTTGTCCATAGGAACCTCTGGCATGGGAATTAATGCAGAGCTGTTTGGCGCTGCCAGGTCACAACCCCCATGTTTGCCCCACTGGATAGAGTTGAAGATCTTACAGGGAACCAGGCATAGTCTTCAAACAAACAAAGATCATTGTTGAGGCATAGTCATAGTTTAGACCAGTGGTCTCCAAACTGCAGCCCTCTGCTTGCCCTTATCTTGTCCCTGGAGCACTTTTCCTCCCTCTGATTTGAGACACTATTCCTCCCACTGACACAAATGATGAGGCACCATCCCTTCCACTGACACCAACATTGAGGCATAGTTTCTCCTGATGATATAAAACAATGGAACACTATTCCACCCACTGACACCAATGATGGGGCACTATTCCTCTCATTGATATCAATAATGAGACACTATTCCTCCAACTGACACCAATGATGGGGAACTATTCCTCCCACTGACACCAATAATGGGGAACTATTCCACCCACTGACACCAATGATGGGGCACTGTTCCTCCAACTGATACCATGATGAGATACTATTCCTCCCACTTACACCAATGATGGGGCACTATCCTCCCACTGACACCAATATTGGAGCACTATTCCTCCCACTGATACCAATGATGGGGCACTATTCCTCCCACTGACACCAATATTGGAGCACTATTCCTCCCACTGATACCAATGATGAGACACTATTACTCCCAGTGACACCAATGATGGGGTACTATTCCTCCCACTAACACCAACGATGAGGAATTATTCCTCCCAATGACACCAACAATAGGTCACTATTCCTCCTACTGACACCAACCATGTGGCGCTATTCCTCTCACCAAAAATGGGGCACTATTTGTTTCAATTAAACCAACAATAGAGTACTATTCCTTCTACTGACACCAATGATGGGGCACTATTCCTCCACTAATAACAATGAAGATGGAATATTCCTCCTTCCACCAATGCTATAGTATTTTTTACTCCCACTTACGACAGTCTGGCACCCATAGAGCCTGAAGGACAGTAAGAAAGTTTTGGGCCCCCAGGTATATACAATAGATAGCCATAGAAAATGAACCAGAAAAAGCAAGAAACTTTATTATGTTATAAGGTCAGGGTAACAGAAACTAAAACGCAGGATGAGTCCATACCAGGAATACATAGAAAGATATGAGATATATAGGTTGAATGATCAAACTCAGGAAATATGAAACCAGAACCATTGCTAAGGTATGGTGCAAACACACTGAACTGACAATGATATTTGCCATAAAGCATTTGCTCCAGGACCTGGTGTAAGAGTACATCAAAGAGCATACAATACCTGACACTACGCAAAGAACATTTGGTGAAGGAGTGGAGCTTCCACACAAGATGTCAGCACTTTTTTGCAGTTTTTGAAAGCTACAGATTATCTTTTTAAAGACTCCAAATACTAATCAGGACAAGCAAGCCCTTTTTTCATTTAAAATGCCAAATAGCATTTCCCCATGATAGCAAAATCCACTACTTCTGTTTTTTTCCTATTAATTTACAAAAACTGGAGAAAGTAAAATGAGCAACAACTCCACTTTTGTTTCAGCTTTCTCTTCGCTCGGTTAGTGAGGGGGTTGGCTGTTGAAGAACTTTCTACTGCAAGAAAAGGAAGCAAATGCAATAAATAGTTTTTAGTGTTTCCAGAGGTTCTTTGTCTCATAACAACTTCCTGCTTTTAATGAGATCAGTGGTTATCAGCATCAGTGAGGAAAAATGCATAAATAAATATAGCACATGAGTTGTGCGGAATTAATGAGGTCTTTGTTACATGTCCTCTAGCAGGGGGGCCCGGGGAATTGTCCCTTTCGCCCCCTTATAAATCTGGCACTATGATACATCACTTTCAAACATACAATACAAAAATTTTTGAAACATCTCCTTAATGCAGCAAACGCCTGCATTCCATCTCTATGGAAAAGTATGGTGCCTCCAAATAAAACGCAATGGCTTGCTAGAATTAATGAGATCCAAGAGATAGAAAACGTAACCATGAGGCTAAGGGAGCAATAACAAAAGTACTGGAAAATTTGGACCTCCTACTTCTTTTATAAAGATCAGACTATACTAACTTTCCAACCATAGGTTGGAGTGAGATTTCGCCACAATTTGCTCAATCCTTAAAGGTGTGAAGTTTACCAGCATGC